CTTGTCTCCGTCTCAGTCTCGGTCTTCGTCTCAGTCTCAGTCTCAGTCTCAGTTTTCGTCTCCGTCTCCCTCACCGCCTGCTCGCGTACCACTGTCTCCATGGAAGCCCCCTCGTGTCTCTGTTACCGCGGAAGCCTGCTCGTGTGTTTCGGTCTCCAAGGAAGCCCCTGCGCCGTCGAGCGCACCCCGACCCGGCAACTCGTCAGAATTCGATGCTCCGGGTAACGCCATGGATGGTAGAACCTCCAAGTTCGACCGCTCCTGGTTGCTGAAGTCCCTATCACCCACATCAGTCGGAGTGGCTGGCTGAGGCTCGCCTGCCGCCACAGCCGGCGTGGTAGCACTTCCCAGTGAGCCGACTGGAATCTCATTCCGATCAACTGAGTGGTCGTTCTGATCAAACGACACCTCATCATGACCACCGGGCGTCTCAGTGAAGAAGTCCTTCGAGTATTCTTCTTCCTCCATCGGCTCAACTTTCACGCTAGTCTCTAACTTGAGATCCATATCCAAGAGAGGCAAAGGGTCGACGGGAGAGGCCGCTCGCTGATCACCGTCCGCAGCCACTGACACGTGAGGCTGTATAGGAGCACCCGCTGCCGCCGCCACCGCTGCCGCTGCCGCTGACGAGTCACTGGAGCTGTCCCAGTCGGCACCGGGCTCCTGTTTCACCCGCAGCTGTACGTGCAGGGTGTTTTGTCCGTCGCGCGGCGCTGCGCCGTCCTCAGAGACGGCCGGCGATGGTCGTCTGGCAGCCGACGTGCCCGGCTCGGCGCCGCCCACCGCCAGCAGCGGCTGGCACGTCTCCTCGTGCAGTTTGCGCTGGTAGATGGAGGTGCAGACCCGGCCGCAGCCGGAGCAGGTGGTGCGGCCGTCGTGGGTGGCGCGGTGGTGCGACCGACTGCCCCAGGCCACGGAGGTCTTGCACAGCGAGCACCGGTACCGCTGCACGGTGCGGATCTGGCCGTCTGGTGTGAGCTCGCGCTCGCTGATCCGCTGCCCGCCGGTCGCCGGCTCGACCTGCCGGTCCAGCACCCGACCCTGGCCGGTGGACAGTCCCGCCGGTGACGGCGGTGTCGGCGGAGTCTGACGAGAGGCTGTCGGTACCACCGGAGGTGGAGGAGGGGGTCTGCCGGTCAGCAGCGCCCGCAGCACCTTCCCACCCGGCTGCAGGGACGCGGGTACGCCGGGCGGCGACTGCGGCGGGGCCGCGGTAGACACTGGCGGCGCGGGCTCAGAAGTAACCGCACTGTGTACGGTCACCATCGGTAGCCGCGGTGCCTGGCGCGCCGACCCGCCGGGTGACGGCGGCCAGACCGGGCTGGCCAGCGCACTGGCCAGCCGGCTGATCAGGGTGCTGTACCGCGCGCCCGACGGCCCGGGGGAGGTCGCTGGGGGTCGCGGTGCCGGCACCGGCGGCGGGCAGCGCGGCCGCAGGTCGTGAGGCTGCTGCCGACCTAGTCTGTCCAGGTGTGCCAGCAGTGCTGTGGTCGCAGACGACGTGGCCGGGGCTGGTGCCCGCCACGCCACGGGACTCGCGCGGCTCGCCGGCGCAGATGATTGCGGTGTCACCACTCTGAGTGTCCTCACTCGGGGCGGCGCGGTGGCCAGGGCGCGCGCCAGCGTTGGCGCCTGGGTGGCCAGTGTGGGCGCCGGCGGCCGAATCCTGAGCACGTGGAACTCCTGGCCGGCGCGGGACCGCACCACGGTCCGCGCGGCCACGGCGGTGGCGGGGGCCGCCGCGGACGGGCGCCCACCTGGGGACCACGGCCGGCCGTCAGCGGATGACGAGATGACGGCGGCGGCGGCGGCGGCGGCTGCCCGAGGGCGGCAGGCGGACGGCACAGACACGAGCTGAAACTAACGAGCGGAGATAGCTGCGAGGACACAGACTGCAGAGTGCTACAGCGGCGCTACTAAGGTCACCAACAATATACCGCCACTCAATAGATGTTATGGAAGTGCGGTCCCAAGGGAACTGTGCAGCATTCAGACGCTGGTAGAAATCACTCATGCGAGGTATTTCAATCCAACTGGAGACATACTGGAGGGATGCTTATACACAGCATCGGTGCTTAGTTAGAAGTTTTGTTCATAAATAATCGGGTAAAAAATGTCTGAGATAAGCATGCAGAACGACCAATTCATGTAAATCTAATGCACCTTCAAATGCAAGTACATAAGCTATTTAGAATCCTTCTTGTTCATAATGAGAGCATCTGTTTGGAGGCGGTATAAACTGGAGCATAAACCTCTGTATGCAGTAAGTAGAGGTCTGTCATTGGAAGCATCCTTACCCCTCTCTACCTGCATATTAGTTAACGAACGTGTTTTTTGTAACATTTGCTATGTAACATTTCCTCGTTATATAATTGTTCAGTAACTGGTTATCGTGTTCGCCAGTGAACAGTTCTCACTGCACGGCAGCGTATAGCCTCCACGGGCTTTTGTTTTAATTCCACGACGCGCTGTATCGCTATATTCTTGTTTCCTCACCCGTGCGTCGCGCGGCGCTTCCCATCCCGTTCCCCGCACTATCCGCGCGTCCCGTCCCGGTGCGACTGCTCCCGTGTCGCGGCGAGCCGTCTGCCGGACCGTCCGGTCCGGTCCGGTCCGGTCCGGTCCGGTCCGGCGGGGGGCGGGGCCGCGCGCGGTCCCAGCCGGCGCAGAGCCTGCCGGCCCGCCACCGCCGCCGCCGCCGCCCGCCGACACACGCAAAAACACAAACACATACACATACACCAATGGACGGCTGCCCGAAAAGGAATGACGGCTCGGCATGAAGCTTAGTGTGCTTTTTAGCAGATAAGTGATAAGACTTCATGACAATCCATGGGGTAAATGACAGGAAGCGCCCTTTCAAAGACATTGTACTTTTTGGCCGCGGAAAGGAAAGAGCAATCTTAGCTGATGTGGGTTGCTCTGAGGTCCGAGCATCAGACTCAAAAGAAAAAAGTCATTACCGCGATAAGAAATGCAGTATGACCAACGAAACTCGTTGGTCAATGACAAAACAAAACTGGTGAGCCCAAAACCATAACTCCCTTTCAAGCAGCCAAACACGAATGCGAGAACAAGCCACCATGGCACTAAAAGGGTAGCACATAAAAACGATAAGTCAACTGACGCTGCTCAAAATTAGATTCAGCAAACACAACCTTTATAACGTCAGCCATAGAAGTTCAGTTGAAATTTCGACGGTTAACATACTTCGTAATCATTAACTACAATTCAGGCTGAAATGTTATCACTTCACGCTTCGGTGAGACGAACCAAAAAACAATGCGATTGAAGGAGGCCCTGAAGTGTGCCGAAGCGATCATTGAGCGATCCCATCTGTAGTGCCATGGTGGCGCCCACCCACATAGGTACCGTCCGGCGGCAGGAGCGTGCGGGGGTCCAGTGTCGGTCCAGCCGGCGCCGGTTATCAGATTATCAGACACGGTCTTGTAAAGCGTGCAAGGATTTAGGAATCACACTGAATCGAAAACATCTTAGCAGGGAAATTTTCACTGCTTATTATTTTGGTACCAATTACAGTAAGCTTTGCGGTATGAAAGACAACCATCAGAGACCAACTCGAGCCTGTCTGAGAAGCAAACAGGCACAGTGTCCACGTGACACGACAGACCACGTGAGGGGACCGAGGCACGCCCCCGCCGACGGACACGGACACAGACACCGCCGCGGCCCGGAGACCGGCGGTACGCACACAAACAGACACTGGTGGTATGGCCGGCAGCCGTCAAATGGACACCAGATAGAGGGACAGGAGAGATAGAGGGAGGAGAGAGACATATTTGACATAAGGATGTGGAAGAAGTTGATTAAAATATAGCACCTCCGTCATTTTTTCCACTGAATATGTGGTGATTGCTTTTCCGGTGAAAAGTAATAACCTCGGTTGGATATTACGGTGAACACGACGAGGATGAGGAGCTTACGATGAAGTAAAATGATCTGGCTATTCGTACTCTTAAAAAGTAGTTTGCTTTTTTGCCGAGCTTAAAAACCATCGGAAAAATCTACCCAAATGGTTTTCAAGGTCCTGGTAATCCATGAGGATATCCCTCAGGATTGGCGAGTAAAATTAAATTGGCTCGTAGTTACGCTACAAGATCACTCTGAATTAGGAACACCAGTTGATCATTTGTACCATGTTGCCAGGCGGCGTCAGACTATGACGTCACCGTCCGATTTCCAGGGAAGATCGATAATGTCGTTAGAGAACCAGCCGACCGGCCGACCAGTTGGATAACCGGGAACAGATGTCAGTGGGGGCAAAAGGGAGGAAGGTATGGAGGCAGCTTTGGAAAGGTTTACACGATCGGCAAACAAGGAAAAAAGACGGAGAGCGAGAGAGACAGACAGGAGAGAGAAAGAGGGAAAGGGAAGTGGAGGAGAGGGAGGGAGGGAGAAGGAGAGAGGGAGAGAGAAAGGGAGAAAGAGGGGAGACAGAAAGGGAAATAGAGGAGAGAGAGAGAGAGAGAGAGAGAGAGAGAGAGAGAGAGAGAGAGAGAGAGAGAGAGAGAGAGAGAGAGAGAGAGAGAGAGAGAGAGAGAGAGAGAGAGACGTGACGGTGCCATCTGACGGGCCCGGCCATGTCTCACCGACCTCGGCCCCCGTGCTCGTCTGATCGCTGCTTTATATGTTGGTCTGGTCCTCAGATAGAGAGCGAGTCGACGGAGGAGAGAATGTAACCGAAAAAAAAAACTGAAAAATTAATTTCGAATAAAAATTAGAATGGGATATGCCCATCGCAATATTTTAGATACTAGCAAAACATAGTTACCGAATTACCCATTATCGGTTGGAACACTGAGTTCCGCACGTCATGACCGGGGTAAATAAAATTGACAACTGCAAAGGGTACCAGAGGTCCGGCGATAAAAGAGAAAGTTTGAATGTTAAGGGATTAGTTACGGTGTTTCAGGCAGCAGATCGTCGAGTAGGGAGGCCGGGGCGGCTGGTCGCGTTCGGAGTATGGGAGCTCGACCTACCTGGTGTGGAACTATCCGAGAGGTCTTGTGAAGGGAAGCCCGATGGACCGGCGACTGCCGCTAATAGATCTGTGAACACAGACACGAATGTGAAGCCCGATGGGACTTGGAAAATCAATGAGTTACAACGACAATAAAATCAAAGGGCAGCAGATGTGCAAGATCTTTAAGGTCTAACCAGTAACTATACGCGATAAGTTACTTCTTCCGTGCACGAGACTTTGTAACAATCTCATTGTTTCACCTCTGCCCTGACCCGTTTTCTGCTATCTGCCGCTCCCATCCCCCGCCCCCCTTCAGGCACTGACCTTCGTCCTGGAACTCGTGCGCCTGAGGATGGGTGGGCGTCCCTGTCAGGAAGCCCATGTGCGGCGCGTCCGAGTCGCCCAGCAGCGGCATAACGCCGCCGCTGCCGGAGCTGTTCTCGCCGCCACCGCCGTGGTACGAGTCGTCACCGTCCTCCAGCACCAGCGGCTCCTCCTTAACCGAGAGCGGCTCGGAGCCGGGCCGCGGCAGCGCCGCCTCCGGGGCCGCCGCCGGCGCCGGCTGGTCCACGCTGCGCGGCCGCTTGGGCGTCAGCAGCGCGTGCTCGCCGGAGGAGGTCGGCGGCGGCGACAGCGGCCGCTTGGAGGGCGGCGCCGCAGCCAGGGGCGGCGGGGGAGGCGGCGGCGGCGGCTGGGGCGCGGCCCGGTGCCGCGGCGGCTCCGGAGATAACCGCGGAGGGGGCGGCGCCGACGGGGTTGAGGTCTTGGTTTTCTTTGGGGGCTGAAAAACAATAAGTCAATATAAGTCTTGGTCTTCTTTGATATCTGTTTTTAATATCATCACTGTTAACTCAAAATGGTGTATCAAAAACATGACATAAAATTATTTCAGGCTTGTGGAATTTTTTTCAGTTCACCATCTTTAACTGAACATTGCAGTGTGCCTCACCTCTGGCTGTGCTGGCTCGTCATCTCCTGTCAGACCCCTGACCTGCAGGGTCTCAGCAGTCTTCAGAAAGGAGCCCAGCTCACTCTGCGCCACATTCACTTTTCCTCGGTACATAAACTCCACAATGTTTGACAAGTCTTTGAATGATATATCACGCATGAAAAACACTGGATGTGTTCCAAGGTTACCCTGAAAGAGAGGTCATGTTGCACATTAAGAAATCAAAACAATGTTGATATGGAAATAGTTTTGCTTACATGAGGATTGATAATCTGTATGCAGAGAGGCAACCATGCAAGCACAACTCATGAAAAAGAGCAGTATTAGATGACCTGACACCTTTCAGGATATAGCTTTGAAATTTGAGTGTAAAAATTTTGTCAGTCTTATCTGCAGACTGCAAAGCATCAAAGCAATTAACTTTTCCAAGCTCAACCACAGTGCTTATTCACTTAAGTCCATTTGCCATGATAGCTAAAATGTTCTTAGCTCACCTTAAGAACATCCCTGAAGTAAGGACTGCAAGCTGAAAGCATCATTCTGTGTACTTTGATTTGCTGGCCTTGAGCACACAAAGTCACATCGACCAGCTCCCCATCTCGCCTCAAGTCATTGAAGAGACTTGTGACACTTGTCTGGTAGCTGTTCCATTGGAGACAGAAATTCTGTCCCTCATCCATGACAGCAGCTCTGAAAATACGTGGAGCAAATGTGACCGTTGAAACCTATGTCGGCACATGCAATCCCTGACTTTGCAAGGAAAAGGTCAACAAGAATTTACAACTTTGACCTTGCAACAATGGCATTACCTTTTCATTATCATTCATTGTGCTTAAATAGGTACCTGTAACCTACCCAATCACGATTGGTTAGGTCAACAATGATTATTCAAGTAGAATCAAGTCAATGCCAGGGTCTTCAGAAAATGCCTAATCAAATTTCCATTGTGTCAAAAATTAGCACGCATCATAATATAAAAAACGAAAACACCTTCACATACCAAAGAGACTGAGACGAAATGCAGGCTCGCACCTACGCATTCATGGGTCACGTTCACACGCCAACTAAATGTTCCCCATTCCAATGCAGCTCGCTTTGTCTACCACTGATATAGGCTCTTCGAGGTTAGCAAGGTTTTAGAGAAGAAAAAACGGTACAAAGTCAAACAACCCAACCTAACCCACGCCCAGCGCAAGCACGATTTCCACGCGCCGGAAATGCGCGACGCCGATTTTGACGTCAATACTCAAAATGGCGCATGTGACTTTGAAACAAGTACTTATCAACAGTAAGACAAGAACCACCATTTCTTGAGTGTATAAAATAAAATTTATTTCAAAATGGCTGTAAAGTGCTTTATTTACGATATTTGTTTTAAAAAAATGCTGATGTTACATGCATTTTAGGCAGGGAAAAAGTACTCTAGGCTACTCTTTGGCTAATCTACCGAGTACCTACATACTCAACTTTCTACCTAAACTCGAACAACTGACCCGCTAGCCAACTTTAACATAAACAATTTACCAAAGTAACATTTTCTATCGGATGGACTTGAATTTGACTGAATGATGCAGTTATGTGCGAGGTTCAACGCCGTCGACCATGCCATGCCAAAGCTTATCGTCCGTGTGTAGTAGTGATGGGTCAGTGTGACCCGCTTTCAATGGCTTCAACTTATTTTCTGTATTTTCTTACAATAGCGGACAGTAGTATATCCAAATTTCCAGAAAAAGAAAATGCAACATGTTAATGTATTCATAATCCACACGGGTCTGACATCGAAGTTTTTCGACAGGTTAGAAAAACGGTCAAGCGAAAAATACTGCCACTCTAATTAAAAATCAGATTATCATTTTTAGCCAAAATGTTTTGAAATGAAAATTATTTTTCTTTCAATTTCCATGAAAAAAAAAACAGAGAGAAAACTGTTCCAATCGTAAGATCAAGGCTATGCCTAAACCAAAAAGTGGTAAAGTGGTGCATCAGCAACAGCTGAGCAGATACGATTTTGTACACATTTGGTAAACATAATACCTTGAGTGTAAACAAATATTTTCATTCATAGGGCGCGCCGCGCGGCGTTGATGGATAGAGATAAGTCGTCTTACCGCCCAATAAATTGTCATTTGAGGATGCAACATTCACAGTGCACCAGTGAAATAGCAGTTTAATGGTGAAGTCATGATGTGAAGCGTTTGCCGCTTTTGTAAATGCCCATGGACTGAACTCAAACTGAAGCTGTTACAGTTACCGGTTGAGGTCACAACACTCACACGGTCTCGGTTCACGGTTGTTTGTCGTGAATCAAATCAGAGGAATAAACTCAAGAAATGAGATGGCTGTGGGAGAAGCATGGACGTTCACTTCCAACCTACAGAATGATCATGTTTCTCTTTTACTTTTTAATCCTGAAGATAAAACATATTTGTTCAAGAACATGCAAGAGAGGGAGGTGCCGCACGGAACCTTCCTTCCGGGTGGGCCAACCACCGTAGCATTGAATACATGGAACAAGGTCATGCAAAGCAAACTTAGCGAGGTATAAGTTCCTTCTTTTTTGTTGTAGGATGGGATTGAATGGTTGAATTGATGAAAGGTAAATGTCAAGTTTAAGTCCTAAGAAGATTTCATTGATAAATTTTTCATATTTTTACATTATTTGACATCCTGAATCCAAAAATGATACTCATATGTCTCGCAAATAAAAGAAAAAACATAATCAAACCTGACCTAACCTTACCTACTTACATATAACCTACCAACCTACAACCTACAAACCTACCCTAACCTAACCTAACCTACAAACCTACCTACCTACAACCTAAAACCTACAAACCTACAACCTAACCTAACCTAAAACCTAAAATTTTTGCTGTTTCATATTCGTATCAAAAGCGCCACAATTGTAGTTAGGACCTAAACTTGACATATACCGATGAATGACATGACATTGGGACGATAATTAGGCAGGGGCCAGACCATCGCCATACCAATGCATCAATATTGCAATCTTGTGAAGATTGGAGATCTGAGGCCAGTTTTACCAGCAGGAGAATAGTCGCCTGCCAGAATGTATTGCCCAAAGACCGCTTCACACATGGTAAAGCCCTATCTGCTTACATGCCGATCATGTTTATGCTCTGTATGTGAAGGGATCTTTAGGCAAAAAAATTTGGCAGGCAGCTATTTTTCTGTTGATAAAACTGGCCTCTGTACTTTTGAAGTCTTTCTAGATTTTAGAACAATAACTTTGATTGAATTGTTGCTTTAGATAAATTATCCATCAGTAGTCATTTTTCTCATGTGACTAAATGATCAGGTGCAATTGGAAAACATATCAGTTGGGCAAACTAGACCTTTGGAATCAAAATATGGAGGCATCAAAAGATTGATTCCTTATGACCATATTTGGGCATAAATGCAGACCATTTCTAACTTACCAATCACATAAATATAAGAGAGTGTTTCAAGAAGGAGCATGCCTGATCTTGAACAGAAATGTTGGAACTATCTCCTAAGCAAAATAATATTGCTCCTTTCATAACAATTTGAATTATATAGGTAGTGAAAGGCAATCAAGGAATTGATTCACTTTAAACAGATAATCATAATATTGATTCCCCATCAGCTGGCTAATCATTATTTTGATTCACAGGTAATGTTAAGAGATAGGCAACAATGACTTGCAGGAATACATCATTTATCTTGCTATTGTTCTCATTCAGTGGAATCCTCAGCACCACAACAGATACCTATAGCATTGTTGTACTTAACCTTCACTACATTTGATAACAATTCACAATTTTTAAATGTCAAGAATACAAAAACTGAAGCAACAGGTAAAAACCATATAATAAATATAAAAGCACTAGAACAATGATAATTAGGGGTTAGAAAATTTCATTTTGCCATTTTACACAAATACTGATTGTTTAGTATGTGATTCATGATACAAAAATAACATACAGTGTGATTTCCTCAAAACAGCTATACATGATGGACAGTGGCTCTGTCTTTTTCCCATTCACAAGGCCAAAGGGACAATTTCTTAGTGTTGAGGTAACACTTTTTGGAAACCTACCACATTTTTCTACCTTTTTAAAGAAAAATATCACCGTCATGGGCCTTTTTTCAACCGTAACGATACATTTGAAGTCAAAAGTGTACCCAAATGAATCAAAAAATTGATTCCATGCCCATATTTGGTCATGGCTCCTCCCACCAGAATCAAATTATTGATGCCTCCATATTTTGATTCCAAAAGTCTAGTTTGCCCAACTGATATGTGTAGCTGACAGTGCTCTGTATGTTACAGGTTGCTGGTTCCTGTGATATAAGTCCACATCTACTGAAAATTCAGAGGTTCTTCATCCCATGCTTGTCCAGAGCTATCAGCCATGTCATCTTCTACATGCCAATCAATGCCAAGATCAAAAACAGAACAAAGGTACACAGGCATGCAGAAGTGATCTGCTGTTGAGTAATACCAATGCAAGGAATGAGTTAGCTATCAAGAATGCTTAAAAAATAGGTACTTCTTATTTCAACGAATAATCTTGCTCATATTTATACCTACTGTGATAGCAATTCCTGAAAACTGGCCTATTCATTTTCATGATAATTTGATAGCCCATCAGCTTCATGTTATGCTTTGTCACATATTTTTTTTTTGCCTTTGTTGTTTTATGAAATGATCTTCTTTGCTTTATTCATTCAGATATCTTAAGGTCTAAGGAAATCGGTTTAATTGTCAGCCTCCAGCTCAAAGCTCAGATCAGCTTAGTATTCCTACTTTGAATGCTAAACTTGCTGAAAAGCAGTCATCGCACTGATGTTTCTGACCCATCCTGGCTCCAGGCCAAGCCCGGCCTGCGGTGGCTGACGGCCGCGCAGGCGCGCGCCTCGGTCACCGAGGGCCAGCTGATGGCAAGTCCCGAGGTGCTGGACTACATCCAGCTGGCCGAGGCGCGGCAGGCGGGTGCCAGCGATGCCGCCGGAGGCTCTGGAGACGTCGCCCTGGACGAGAAGGGTGGCAGCTACATCTACGTCCTGCCGGAGGACAGGGCGGTGAAGCTGCCGCATGAGGCGCTGCTGGAGGCTGCCCAGCTCCTGAAACTGGGTAATCATGGGCATAGGCTTTGGTATGGTCGGTCGTAAAGTCGGTGAGCGTAGCGATCGGGATCTGACTGTTTGCATCGTCTTTTCGCCGTGTGTCCATAGTTTAGCGATCGATCAGTAAAGACGGAGACGTGCACGGCAGTCTTCTGCAGTTTCACATATTTTGTTCTGATATAAAATATTTCCTCTTCCAAAACGCTAGAAATGCTGTGGTCAGCATCTTAATTTTTATCGAAATCGCCGATATTTGTTTCGGTTCTGTTTCGTTACGCATCACCTCTCCGTCCTGTCTGTCCCCAGAGCAAGGTCTGCTGTACGAAGAGTTTGTCCGCCGCTGCTTCCCGTGCCTGTTCATGAACTTCTCTCGGTTCTCGGACCTGGTGCAGAGTCTGGGATGGGAGCAGGCGACGCACAAGGACCTGTTCAGGTGGGCAGCGTTGTTCCGTGGGGGTGGCACAGCTCGGCAGCGCCCAATCAGGTAAAGCTTTGCAGTGGATGAATGGGTTATGCTCGATTTTTCCCACAATTAATCGCTGAATCATGATTGGCTGCCGTGTTATTATTGTCCAAAATCGTTGACCTTTGTTATTTTTTCTTTCTGACCCATTTCCAGGAGTATAGACTCACAGAGCCGCGGCGCTCTGACGTACCGTGACCTGTTGCTGACCCTGTGTGACCCATTTCCAGGAGTCTGGACTCTCAGAGCCGCGGCGCTCTGACGTACCGTGACTTGCTGTTCGGTCTGGCGGCGCTGGAGCCGTGTACCCAGCACGGCGGGCCGCCGGCAGAGATACGCTGCCGCTACATCTTCCGGTGAGCACGCGGACGGTGAGGGTGACGGAGGAGAGATGGGAGGAGTGTCAATGGAACTGGGAGTGGCCCGGTGGACTCTGCAAATTCCTGCCGATGACAGGGAGGACTGTAACGTACGTGTTTTTGAAGAGGGAGCTGAGTCATAGGGGCACTTTTCGTACTGCGATACGACCGTTTCAAAGCATTTATCACACGCTCTTGTTCTCACAGGTACTACGACAAGGATAACGACGGCCGGCTGGAGTTTTCCGAGTTCCGACAGATCGTCAGCGACATCCGCCGCTTCAAGGGCCAGAGCGTGAACAAGGAGGAGCTGATGCTGGTCACCGAACAGAGCGCCAAGTGAGAACGTGATTACCTGGTCGGTGTCGACAGAGGGAGGGGGCATGGAGCAAGTGAGATGGTTTCTTCTACCTCGCCGGCGTTATGAAACACCCCCGGGTCGCCTGCTTTATGAAAAAGGTCCCGGCCTTGCGAGGGTTAATATTTTCCAGTGTTCCTGGTACTCCTGGGATAGTTGTCGATATGGGGTAGTGCGGCGTGCATCCATTCCGTGTTGTAGTTAGCTATCGACGGGGTAAGCGATATGGGACTCGGGAGGCGAGGAAAATCGGTTATACGGGTGGGTAGATAATCGCTGCAAAATGTTGTCCTTCTTTGCCGTGGGGTGTGAATACTCGACTCCCCACCTGCCCACCCGCAGGGTATTGGGTGCAGTAAGAGTAGGTTAACTTCGGAGTGGCTCCGCCCAACCTTGATTCTGATCACTACCACTCTGGTTCTCTGCCAGTCAGGGCTGCGGAGTCGGAGTCGGAGTCGGAGTCGGTCGGAGTCGACAGTTGTGACCGGAGTCGGAGTCGGAGTCGATTTTAGAAACCCGAGCCGGAGTCGGAGTCGGAGTCACCGAAAATCTGTCGAGTCCGCAGCTCTGCTAGGTCTGCGGAGTCGGAGTCGGGAGTTGGAGTCGGTCGGAGTCGACAATTCTGCCCGGAGTCGGAGTCGGAGTCGGAGCTGGTTTTTAAAAGCCGGAGTCGGAGTCGGAGTCGCCGAAAATCCATCGACTCCGCAGCCCTGCTGCCAGTGGATGTCACCACTCACCAGAGTACGGTAACTCTCCCACTCCCCTCCCACAGGGTGTTTGGCGCCGAGTCCAGTGAGAACCTGACGCTAACCGAGCTCCTACCCCCCCCCCCCTCCCTTCCCACAGGGTGTTTGGTGCCGAGTCCAGCGAGTATCTGACGCTAACAGAGCTCCTACCCCCACCCCCTCCCACAGGGTGTTTGGCGCCGAGTCCAGCGAGTATCTGACGCTAACCGAGTTTCTGACGGGAGTCGGCCAGTTGAAGTTCCGAGGTACCTCGCTGCTGCTGCGATCTCCCCAGTCGGTCAGCGCCTTCCTCAAACAGCGACAGAGGTGGGTTGGTGGAGTGAGGGGTCGACCGTGGAGCAGGGGAGGCCGGTGTGAGTGTGTATGGTGTGGGGGTTGTATTAGGCAAGGGACAAGGAAATGTGTTTCATGTGCGTTGGGCGCTCATTTTACGTGTATCGGGCAAGGGGCATCATAATGTCGCCATCTGTACTCGGACCTCTAACACACCGCTCCGTCCCCGCAGCGCTGCGGACCGCCCCGGCTCGCCGGCCGGGGGACGGGTCTCCCCCCGTCCGTCCGTGATGTTTGACCGGTCACCGCTGCACGCCACAGACGGACCCGAGAAACTCGAGGAAGGTGAGAACGGATAACGGCAAGGGAGGTGGTGTGAATTGTTAGCTGAGTTGAGGAAACAGACGTGAAGCAGAGTGTGTACTGTCAACTTCAACCTGGTTTACTGCAAATTGTGCCGGAGCTCCATGAACACTGAACATTTGTTACTCTATCATCTAAGCCTTCAATAACCCCTCGAGCGCCAAAGCCCCATCCGTTGACCGCCCTTCTCCCCCTGACCGTCAGTCTCGGCGGACGGTCCGTTCTTCAGTCCGTCGGCCGGCTCTGAGGGAACAGAGTACGAGCTGGCCACGCACTCTGTCCGGGTCCGGCGCACCGGGACCCTGCTGGACATCAACGCCCTCTGGGACATGGAAGGTAGGCAGTTTAGGCACCCTCCTGGATATCCTGGCGCCCTCTGGGACATGGAAGGTAGGCAGTAAGCACTCTGCTACGTTCTATACGACAGGGAACCGTGCCCGACTTCGAATTCTCTCCAACAAAAAAAAAAATGTATTGACAGCTTTTTCATGCTTCATTTTCAATACAGCGCATGTTGTTTGAGTTATGGGTCGTGATGTTATAGCATATGCTTCTTAAAACATTTTTAATGATTTCCTTTGATGCGTTTGTTTCCTGATTGTGTTGTGAGCAATTCGTTCTCTCCAGACGAATTATGTTCCTGAAGAGCGCTGCATCTGCTTCGAGTGATAAGCATGTATCTGCATCCCCACCAGCCAGCGTGTGTCAGTGTCTGGCTCCATGTACCCTTGTGCGTGACATTATATATTGATCCACCGCCACTGGTCCAGATCCGTGGTTCGAGAGCTTGTCGCTGGGAAGTGAGAGAACGAAGAACGGTCAGTGGGCACACTGTCGTGTTTATGGGCAGTGCCTTAGCTCGACTCAAAAATCTATAGACCTCTAGTGATTATCTAGTAGTTAGCCCTCTTGGAATATCTAGCTCAGCTGTTCTTTTTGACGGTCGTTGTAGTCGAGAGCAGCTGTATTTTGGGGTAGGCAAGATGTTCCACTTTTTGATAAAAGAAAGCATAATCATTGTCGCATCGAAGTATGCGTACCTTTTAATTAGCAGTAATTCAGCATACACTTATACAGTCGAAATATTCTCCGAACACGTCGTGTACGCCGAAGTCGGCCATGAAATAATTCGGCTTATGTTGATTGCCTGCAGGATATCTGGTGATTCCTGTTGATTCTATAGTAGCTTCATAGTTCTTCGCAGTATTGGTATTTTATAGTAATGGAAGTGTCACTTTTTTCAGTCTGGGCACCATCAGGTAGTAGAGGTTTCGATAATTTGTGTTTCAACTATTGTACACATTTTGATGTATTTTCACATGTTATTGCATTCTAAAACAAGTAAGTACTTCATTTCATTTGTGTCTTATATTACATACTTGATTCCATGAAACTCTTACCCGAAACGATTGCTTCGTGGCATTTGCATTGCATCAGTAACTGCTCTAAGTGAATGTTGAACAGCCTTTAAATAATGTATTTTTCGTCTCCACCGTCCCATCTCTTTCTACCCACACACTCGCACACTTCACCCTTTCCCTCTTCCCCATCAGACTCGTCCACCATCTCGGCGTCTGCCCGGCTCAACAAACGCTCTCGCTGGGAGCGTATCTCGTCTGTGGACAGCTTCAACCAGAAGTCTCAGCCCAACGAGATGCTGAATGGGCTGCGGTACTTCGAGCGTCCCGTGAGGACGGACCAGGCCGCCGGAAAACACGCCGCCAAGGAGCCCTTCCACTGGGGAAACGTGAGAACGGGGGATTTATTTACTATTTACTATTTACACAGGAGACATGGGAGAGCACAGAGAGTAGCTCTCCTTGCTCAGATAACTCGCAGCGTAAATCGCTGCGAGTTACGCTACGGAACTCTGAGAGCGGTAATCCTTTTGCTGAGCATATTAGTGTGCCTTGCACTAAGAAAAACGATGTGGACGAGGCCGGGCCGCAGAAGCCTGTCCACTAGCGAAATGAGGGTATAGGGTTGGTTATTTATTTTGTTTGTGGGTTTTCACTGGTGAGCTCATACGGAAACTCACTGCTACGGAAGATAAAACTGTGCAGTAGTGATTATAATAATATGGACCTGAGTCACTTATCTACCTTTTATTCTACTTGAGCTGGCTGCTGAGTTCGGATTGTCGTATGACCGCCCCCCCCCCCCCCTTGCCTCGTTCAGGTGGACCGGTCGGTGCTGGCCAAGTGTCTGCTGCAGATCTGCCACCTGGTCAGGGACATCCTGGTGCAGGAGCCCCGCCTGCTGCAGCTCAAGTCGCCCTGCTACATACTCGGTACGCTCGCTGACCCCGACTATTTGGCGGTACGGATATGCCATGATGCGTCATGCAATTTGCATGAATATCAACATTTCGACTCTTTATTCTATTAAACTTTGCTGATTGTGATTTGTGGTGTCGAAGAACTTTATTTTTTCATTCGTCCACACATGCCCGCGGTAACAAATTGCGAGAAACTTTTTTTGAAGCGTGTTGCTCTTTCTTGCACCAAGTTCAACCTCTGACCCAACCGTCTCTCGTCAGGCGATATCCACGGCAACTTCGAGGACCTGGTGTGCTTCGAGAAGTCTCTGTGGCGCCTGGGGCCGCTGCTCACGCCGGCCAGCTTCCTGTTCCTGGGGGACTACGTGGACCGCGGCGCCCACGGCGTCGAGGTAGGGCACGTGGGTATGGGGAGGTATGAGATTAATCAGATCGAAGTATGGCGCAGTGAGGCGTGTATGCTGCGATCAGAGGACTGATTGTGAAAGCAGGGAATGTTTGCGGATGCGGTTAATGTCATCAGTCATGTGTCGGAATGGATATTTTGCGTGAAAATGTGTGTGATGACTGGTCCGTGTTATTATTTATAAAGGATCAGACTGACTAACCTCTCCCTCTTGAACTTTAGACGGTCATGGTCGACCTGTTCTCGTAGACCGTTTCTAAGCTCGCTCGTATTTGTCAGGTAGTGTCCTCTCTACTTCTTCCCGTAGACTGTCTCTAACATCTACCTACCGTCTGTTCTGTCAGGTAGTGGCCTACCTGTTCTCGCAGAAGCTGCTCTGTCCCAACAAGTTCCACCTGCTGCGGGGAAACCACGAGGTCCGCGAGATTCAGCAGACTTTCACCTTTCAGAAGTGAGTGGTCAACCACCAGGTGTTATAATCTCTCCAATGCAGTGTCAAAATGGGACATCCCAGCATTGACTTGTCAATATGACCAACGCTTTTACTTGTTCGACGTGATCATGATATGGAATGACAGCAATGCGATCGGTAGATATTGCGGTGAGCTGCAGCCTGTAAGTGTTCTATGAAGCATTTACTTTCGCGCTCTCCCCCTGTCCCACTCATTGGCTATGTGTCAGGAACTCAGCCCGACTGTTCGATTCCCCTCTCGCCTCTGGCCTTTGTCCAAATCAAATCTAACCAAAAGACTGTGGATTTGGCTCCTCACGTCTTATTGCCACGATATGGTCAAGCAAACAGACAAACAAAACTGTGCAATGCAATGACTTGATATTACAATGTGACTCGAATGCGACATGAGCGCAGACGCTACCCGTAAATTGCCTCCTTGAAACCACGGTGAGGCCATGGGTACGAGTTAATTGCCGCAAACATGTAAATTAGATTCCGGTAGCCAAAGGAGGATCATGTTAGAGGTAGGACTGCAGTCCCACCTCTTAAGATTTTGGCTGTTCGGCGCAATTTAGTTGGTGAGCTTCGAACAGGACAGTAGTCCCATTCTCAACAGCGTGCAACAAATTACGCCGAACACGTTGCCGCGGAGCGAGCGGACAAAAGCCGGCACATCAGTCCGACTCCGAGAGCCACACCACACGGACAACGTCCCGGTCCCGACCGATTCTCCTGCCAGACTGCGCCGCCGCCGCGGCGCCGGCCCCACATCACCGCCAGTCACGTGATCCACGGGTCACCAATCAGCGACCGCTCCGCGCGGCGCGGCCGAGCGCCCGCCGGGTAGACTGCGCCGCAGCGCTGCTCGCTGCAGCAGCGGCGGCCAGCCGGACGGCCCGGCGGCCGTGAACAAGTAACAAATACTAACATTTCTCCCCACCAAAATGTGGGAACTCTAAAGTTAACACATTTTCAACAAAAACGCGCACACATGTACATGCAGGCACACTTCACTTCACTGGCCGCACGCGAACTTGGTTGCGGCTATCGTTGCGGCAGTCCTTGCGGGCCTCGTCAGTCCTCCCGCAGCTGGCCATGGGTCCTTGGACCGGAGGCCAGCGTCATCGGCTGCGTCCTCTTTTTCCTCCTTTTCCACAGGCGTGGGAACGCTGGGAAGTGATGCGGTGCTTCCGGTGGTGCAGGCGTCCTCCAGCTCCGACTCCACCTCCGTCTTGGGTCGTCGCTCCTCCAGCGGCTCCGTAGACGTCGTCTTTTCGGAGACGGCTGCCGGCAGCCTCCCAGTGTCGGCGTTGACAGGCACCGTCGGGGCCGCCGGGGCGCTACAGCACTCCGGCTCCGGCCCATCCCGCTCACAGCAGATTTGTCTATCTCCCCATGGGGAGACGAGGAGGGCTGTAGACCCTGACTCCGGGCCACAGCCCAGGAGTTGTGTCCGCCCGGCGACAGCCCGGCTCCGCCCTCGCCATTTTGCTTTGGGTCATCATTTGTCCCCTTGACGGAGAGAGTCATCTCCCCACCTTTATTTATCAATGTTTTATGTTGTTCACCACACAGGTGAGTCTTTTCTGCATTGAGCAGCTCTGGCTGCGAGGTTCGCGCCTTTGCGGAACCATGATCGGATGGTGAGCGCTCATCCGACGTCAATGTCATCGTCATTTCACTGGAACAGCCCACTGGCTCGTTCCAGCGTGGCTCAGGCAGCATGCCGTTCACTTCCATGGCGGCCTCATTCTGGCCGACCCTGGTCTCAGCCAGACTCCTCACCTGTCTCAGCTGACGACAGTGGGAATTCTGGTGACCGGGCTGATTCAGCGAATCATTGCCGTGGTACCCGTGAAGCGCGTAGCCAAAGACCGTCTCTATGGCCCGCAGACCCTCTCCGATCTCAATCTGCCTCCACAACACGACACGATACAAATAATCGATGCCGATTAGGAGATCCACCTCCCCACCGTCAAAATCGTCGGCCATCAAATCCGGCAGTCCGGAAGGCCCAGTGGGTGGTGAGGTGGCTGGGAGGGGTGAGCATAAGGTCTCCGTGCTCCACATCTTTAACGTCACGGGATCGCCACCGAACCGACTTCGGAGCGTCACTTCAATTCGTTCGTAAGGTCTGGCTGCTTCCGTCCGTTCCTGGAAGCCGGAACAGGCAAACATGCCCGTTCCTTTTACAGGGAGCCCCAGCTCCCCTGCCAAAGAAGTTCTGATGTAGGAGGCGTCTGAACCTCCATCAATGAGGAGGCGTGCCTTTCGCTTGCCTTCCGGTCCCTCGACATCAACCAATGCCGTCAGGAAAAACGTTTCTTTTCCAGACATGCCTGTGGCATTGTAACGTCTGTGGCCCTGGAAAGCTGAGTCATCGGCTTCGGCATCGGACTGACCACCCTCAGTTGTGGCCTCCACAGGGCAGAAAGGTGGAGCCTCAGGCGACAGCCCGGGCCTCTCTTCACCGATCTCCTCATGTGGGGCAGCCCTCGCAAAGTGAAGCAGCGAGTGGTGCTTTCTGCCGCAGATGGCACACGAGTCGCCACGACAGACTCCGGCCACATGACCCGTCCCGAGGCACTGATAGCAGGCTTTGGAAGCCCTGGCGCTCTTCCATCGGGCCTCCACTGGGAGCTCCTGGAACTCAGCGCACTGGTCCAGCCGGTGGGAGCCGCGCCCGCAGCACCCGCACAGCGGCGCACTGGGCTCTTTCCCTGGGCGCGCCATGCGTTGGGTGTGCTCACTGATGACGCCAGACGGCGCCGAGATTTGAGCATCGGGTGAGACAGCATTAGCTTGGCCTCCCCTGGCCGACTCTCGGATTCGCATCTCATGTTGCAGGAATTCCAGAAACTCTGAGAAGTCGCTGCTCTCTCGTCTGGCCCACTCGAGACGCCAGCTCTCTGGGATTTTATCTCTCACGACCGGCAGCATCAGACTGGAGAAACTGTCAGAACTGACTCCCAGGGTCCTCAACGCGCGAGTATGCGCCATCAAATGATCTAGGAGAGACCTCATCGCCTTCAGGTCATTTTGTTGGACCGACGGCATGCTCAACATGTCTCTCATTAAGGTCTCTCGAACCAGGTCATCACGCTTGAAGCGCTCTTTGAGAGCTGACACAGCTTCAGCATACCCGCCGCCTGAGACGGGTATGCCCTCAACGCATCTCAGAGCCACTCCAGCCAGGTGCGATTTAAGCACCACAAATCTCTGGATATCCGCGAAGCCAGGATTGTTGTGGACCGAGATTTCAAATAGTTCCCAGAACTCAGACCATTTCATGATGTCCCCGTGAAAAGTAGGAATTTTCACCGAGATGGAAGACTTAAAATCAGCGTTTCCCGACACAGTCGGTGGCTCAGCCTTTTCCTTGGCTTCCTCAGCCCTTTCAAGGCGGGTGAGGAGGCGAGAGCCAAGAAACACCTCATCCTCCATGGTCTGCATGTGACCAGAATCATCTGCCTGCCCTAGCTTGTCGAGCTCAGCCTGAGTGCTGTGCAGCTCGCTCTGCACCTTCTGAACATGGTGGAGCTTGAGGGCAAGTAGGTCTGGGTCCAAGTGTTTACGATCACATTCTCGGTAAATTCGAAGCTCATTGCACAGTTTCGTGGCTTTTGAACGAAGTTTTGTTCTCGTACTCAAAAGTTCATCCATGATGTGACAGGGATCCAAATTAAACTTAAATTCAAATATAAAGCGGACTGTATGTAAAACAAATTATAGCAAAACCATCTATCCGGACATCAATCCGATCAAGCGGAACAAACCTCAATTTCATGAGAGGAGAATTACAGCAAAGTAGGAATCAAAAGTCAGTCCAATCGCCAAGACGGTAGTCCCAACGAAAGCCAGCCCAATCGCCAAGACGGAAGTCCCAACGAAAGCCAGTCCAATCGCCAAGACGGAAGTCCCAACGAAAGAAAAGACGATCCGGCCCGGAGGACTTATGTCAGGAACTCAGCCCGACTGTTCGATTCCCCTCTCGCCTCTGGCCTTTGTCCAAATCAAATCTAACCAAAAGACTGTGGATTTGGCTCCTCACGTCTTATTGCCACGATATGGTCAAGCAAACAGACAAACAAAACTGTGCAATGCAATGACTTGATATTACAATGTGACTCGAATGCGACATGAGCGCAGACGCTACCCGTAAATTGCCTCCTTGAAACCACGGTGAGGCCATGGGTACGAGTTAATTGCCGCAAACATGTAAATTAGATTCCGGTAGCCAAAGGAGGATCATGTTAGAGGTAGGACTGCAGTCCCACCTCTTAAGATTTTGGCTGTTCGGCGCAATTTAGTTGGTGAGCTTCGAACAGGACAGTAGTCCCATTCTCAACAGCGTGCAACAAATTACGCCGAACACGTTGCCGCGGAGCGAGCGGACAAAAGCCGGCACATCAGTCCGACTCCGAGAGCCACACCACACGGACAACGTCCCGGTCCCGACCGATTCTCCTGCCAGACTGCGCCGCCGCCGCGGCGCCGGCCCCACATCACCGCCAGTCACGTGATCCACGGGTCACCAATCAGCGACCGCTCCGCGCGGCGCGGCCGAGCGCCCGCCGGGTAGACTGCGCCGCAGCGCTGCTCGCTGCAGCAGCGGCGGCCAGCCGGACGGCCCGGCGGCCGTGAACAAGTAACAAATACTAACACTATGTCCGACCGCTCAAACCGGCCGTTTTATATCTCCCTAGTATCAAAGAAACCCCGATGCCCTAATATATCGTCACGAATTCACCATTTCTACTCCTGTCTTTCACCAGGGAGTGCATCACCAAGTTCGGCAAGATCACCGGCCCGGAGGTGTGGGAGGCCGTCAACGAGTGTTTCGACGCCATGCCGCTGGCAGCAGTCATCGACAACAAGGTACGACGTGTGTCCAGAGTGTTTTGGGTGGGTGGGGAAGCTGAAAACGTCAGAGACCGGTGCGGGTGCGTGTTTGCGGGAGGCTTTGACTTTGGATATTTTGGTTAGCTTCTAAATCGATATCTTGATGCTTTTGATGAGGCAGAGGTTTGTAAACAGTGTCGATTCCGTTCTCAGATATTCTGCGTGCACGGCGGCATCCCTCCCCCAACCATCGACGGCGGGAAGATATCGGCCATCAACCGTATCCCGTGCCCGCTGCCGCGTCCCGAGACGCAGAGCCCGCTGGCCTGGGAGATCATGTGGAACGACCCCATCAGGTGAGGGCTGGCGCCGATGTTTGGGAGCGGGGTGGGAGAGAGCTGCTGGTTTGCGGTGAAGGGCCATCATTGGAGGCTGGAGCCTGGAGCTGTGGTACGCAAGATTGTGCTGTGCTTGCAATGATGCTCACAGGAAGCGTCTGTGGTTCTTGGTCCTATTCTGTGTCATGCTCGCCCTCCTTTCATCGGGGGTGTAGCTCAGTGGTAGAGCGCTCGCTTCGCATGTGAGAGGCCCCGGGTTCAAACCCCGGCACCTCCAACCGTGTGTTTTCCGTTTGCCGTGACCGCTCGTCCGCTCGTCTCTGATTCTCATAGTTCGTTGAAATCTGCTGCTTGTGGCTCACTTTTGGTGCGGTCATCTATTGAAATTAGCCCGTAAAACACTCATTACAAGCCGCTCCCTTTTCCGGCAGTATGGGGGCGGTCAGCTCTGAGACACTGGACGAGCTGCGGGAAAACGACGGCTTCATCGACAACTACCGTCGCGGCACGGCACACATGTTCAGCAGCGAGGGCCTCGACCGGTTCCTGGCCCGCAACGAGCTGTCACACGTGGTGCGGGCGCACGAGGTGCAGCAGGCCGGATTTCAGGTGGGTGCACGGTGGGTGAGGGTTGCGGAGGGGTGTAGGATAGGGGATAGTGCTCAGCGTGCAGATGGGTGCGGGCTGTGGAGGGGAGGCCGGGTGCATATGAGACGTATTCAAGCGTTTGCTGTGTGGTGCGCAGGAAGCGTTAGATGCCGACGAAAGTTGTATGACCTGGTAGCGGCTACATACTTGTTATCTGCGTGTTCAGTACTGCAGTGGCTGCTGCGCAGGGCTCAGAGTGTGTGGATGCGGGAGTTCAGAACGTCACGGATGTCGTGCTCGAGGTGCAGACCAGTGGTGTGTCGGGTCCGGTAGCTCTAAATGACTGCTAACGAGTCGGATTCTGAGGAAGCCGATGCGTCGCTTGTAAGTAGCTCGCAGAAGCTTGTGACAAACAGCGAGAATTGGACCGGTTTTTGAGGTTCCCAAATCAGATTAATGATAATGAATGTTTTATTTGTACCTTAGTTCTATATGCTGCTGAATAGGGTGCAGGTCTCGCAGAAACAGGTCTCTCCACTTTCATATACTTACCATCCGAAGGTACAGCCTTGCGCCTACTTTGCGAGCTGCGGCCCACCCTACCCTTCACCAAACACCTTGACAGGTCGCTCCCTGCTTCAACCGAAAACCTGTGCCGAATTCCTCCAGCGATCCTCCCTGCGATTGTGGCGTCGCCGAGTCGGAGGCCGGGCAGCCAAACAGCTCTGGGCGCCTATCGCGCGGCCGATCGAACCGCTTCGCTGTGCTCCGGAGGCAGCCCCGCCGCCCACCGTCCGCTGAATCGGGAGGGTTTCACGCCAGCCGGCAGTGGACGCCAGGAGATCATACCCATGCGATGGAAATGAATGTGGTGGAGGTTTGATCTTGCCGGCGCTTTCCTTGTTTCGTGTGGTGGATATCAAGCAGCTAAGAGGCAACAGTGGAGTGTTGCGTGAGAGGATTTTGTGGGATCGTGTTGGTTTTCGCCCCTGTAACCTTGGCAAGGTTGTTCACTTCATCCCGCTCTGACCTTATCACCAAAGCTAAGTGTAGCGTGGAAGCCTTCGTATTCTTTCGTGCCTGAATGATGTAGCAGCGTGGCATTGACTTCAAAATATCGCCGTTCGATAGACGCTATAGTTCACTGCATCCCTAACAATACAGAGCGAGCTCTTAAGAGTCCGACCGTGTCTTATCACAAATGTATGTATCTGAGCCGAGCTGAGCTGAACTTTGTCTTGTCAACGGCGATCTGCCACCTTCGCCTATGAAGGGGGGGTTGGTGCGACCCCCCCCCCCTTGGCGTTTGAAAACAGAGCGTCGTAGAGCTTAGCGGAAAAGACCAACGGATTGCTCTCGCCGAGATCTCGCGATTGGTGGTATATTTTTTGATCCTAGGTCAGCATTTGACCTACTTTTGACCGGTCAAAGGTCAAATTTTCGGAAAATAGACTTTTTTCAAGTTTCCGCGGCGATTGCGGCAAAATGGTGGGAGATAGCGACTTGAAACCTTCACTATCGTGTTCCTTGATCTATTCCCTATCGTTTGGTATGTATTTCGTTTCCCTAGCTCTAAAAATGGCGCGTTGGGAGCGCCGGAAGTCGGCAAGGTCACAGTCGGCGGCAGAAATTCGAAAAATCAAAATTTAAATTTTTGAAATCTGATTGTATTTTTGGGATTTGGGAGGTCCATTTGCTCCCTATAGAAGCTAATATTGCTGCATATTCCCATTGAGGTGACAAGAATTAGCAAAATAGTGGTTCGGGCGCTTTTCAAAAATAGTACCGGACGCTGTTCCTCTTGTGACGTCATATCTCCGTGACCTGACCTGACCCGGTCAAGTTTCTTATACCATATGATATCCAATACTTGCCCCAACATGCATGGGAAGTTTCATCACGATCCATCAACCGATGTCCGTACCACCGGCAGGAAACCTCGGGCGTTGGCACTCAGTTTGTGAAAATCCGGCCGGAGGCTGTTCCCTTTGTGACGTCATAACTCCGTCACCTGACATGACCCGGTCAATTTTTTTTTATCAAAAGATGCGCAAGGTTTGCCCCATAAGGTACCCAAAATTTGGCGGCGCTGCGCGCCGCCGTTTTTGCACTATTTCCGAAAAGCCTCAGGGGGGGTTGCACCAACCCCCCCCCCCTACATGGGCGAGGGTCAAACCTACGATCATTTGTAAAAAAAGCACCTAGCCTACCTCATACCTGCTGTCCGTATCCTGGGAGCACCCGACAGCACCACAATTACTAATTTGGCTGCCTCTACCGCTGACACAGGCCGCTGCCGTGCCATGTTTTATTGATTGGGGCGGTACGGGTATATCGGCGACGATGTCGCCTGTCGGAGGCGGTACCGCTGCCGCCGTCTGCTGATAGTGACGTCAATGGAATGCTCGCTGAGTGCCGAGTGACCTCGCCTGGTGCCACCCGCTCATTGCTGAGTGCCAACCGACCTCTCCCCTCTGGAATTTCCACCGGTGGACCCCCTCTGTCGAGCGCTGGAGGTTCTCCCGCCTTGGGATAGTCCGGTACCGTCCTCCGTAAGGCGCCGTGCACCCCGTTTGTGTCGTCTCGCCGTGCGTCACTGGCGGCGCCCGAAGGGAGTGGCCCGCCGGTGATGTCACGTGCTAAGCAGTTGGGGAATGTCGGAGCCGGCGACACGGCGAATGGCAAGGTCGCCGCCGGCCGCCGCTGGGCGCCGCCGGTGTTCGTTCAAACCAAGGCGGAAGGATGCGGGATTTTCCTCGTGGTGCCGGCCGCTCGGCTAAGCTCCCGGCTGCGGCGTGGATTTCTTTTCAGAAGCGTTCGTGTGGGCTTGGTGTGGTAGCTGGCGGACCTGCGATTTTTAGGGAGCCGGCGACTATAAAGTGATTTTTCGTCAGATTATGAACGGTAGCCTTGAAGGACGTTGCAGCAGTTATGATGTGCATTTTAAAACAATTAATATTTATTTAATTTCCCCTTACACAGACATGTTTCGGACGAGGTCTTTGCCGGGTATGGGGTGTTCCTGGCTCTATTTTCTCCCGTTCGTTCATGTTGCCTGTCAGGGGCCGGCGTTTCTGCGTCGCCCGGAGCTGTGAGAGGAGGGCTGTATTGTAATGGTGTTTGTGGGTACATATTGCCGTTCTTAGCTTGCAGTGTCTGCGTCTGCCTTACAGCCGACATTGCTACTTTGTCTGTCCCACAACTGACTGTGTTATGTCCGTCCCTTATCTCACAGTGTTTTTGACCGCTCCACACTAACAGTACCCGTCCTTCAGCTCACAGTCCACAGTGTGTCCGTCCCTTAGCCCACAGTGTCTGTTCCATGTCTCACAGTGTGTTTGTGTCTCCAATGGAGACACAAACACATGGAGACTCTCCATGCCTCAGTGTGTCTGTGTCTCCACGCCTCACAGTGTGTCTGTATCCGCCCCTCAGCTGCAGCAGAAGGGCCGCCTGCTGACTGTGTTCTCGTCGTCCCGCTACTGTGGCGGCTCGAACGAAGCCGCCTGTGTGCTGGCCGACTGCCACAAACTGCGCACCATCCGGCTGGACACCGCCTGAGGGCACCGCGGGTCACTCGGGGTCACCGTCAAGGTCAGACGAGGTCGGAGGTCAGCTGAGGTCACAGGGTCATATAGAAGGTCAGCGCAGACTGTTTGACGATGGGGCAGGTTCGCCGAAGCTGTTGTTGGAGAGTGACAGTGAAGCGGGGCGCAGTGCGGACGCGTGTCTGGTGACCTGGGAGGGTCATAGTTCAGCAGAGGTCAGTTGTGAAAGGTCAGAGGCGGACTTGGGTCTTGTGCCCAGCGCTGGCGGACAAGGATAGTTTGGCATGGCGTGATTGGGGATGCGACCAGAGACCGCCGGTTGCAGGAAATGTGAGGAAGGAAAGAGTAGGAGCAGATTCTGACCCGGCATATCCACGAGATGCACCCACGGATGCTAAAAGGTGAAGTTTTGCGGTGTTGCTCTCTAGCAGGTATGATTAACTTTGTGATATCCGCCATGAAATAGTTAGTTCGACTTAGGAGTAGCTTGGATTGTGATCATGTTGAATAGTTCGATAAATGAGATAGCAATATGAGAAGTTCAAGTTACAGATTTCACGGTTTTATGGCGGGAAGGTGGCGTCGCCGCTGAAAGTAAATTTTGTCGTTTTCTATTGAAAGATTCACATGGTGCCATGTCGAAACTTCCACAGGGGATCAGATGATTGTTGTTGAATGTTGGCATTTATGATATTCCGCTGCTCACAAATCTGGAAAGGCTTTACTGTCAAACTTTTAATGCTGTCCTTAACATTAAATCGCCTAGAGCTTTAACCCTCGCCGGACCTATTGGTTTTCTACATACGCGCCGGCCGAGGGGGGGGGGGGCGGGTACGACCCCCCCCCCTCGCCGTTTCGCCCCTGGTGGAGCTAGCGCGTCGCGGAAAAAACGAGCGTGTGCGCCGTTACGAGACGCAGAGATTGGTACCCGATTTTAAGGTCCTAGGTCAACCGGTGACCTCTGAGGTCAGGTCAAGTGCTCCAAGGTATGGTTCAGTTTTTGGTGAATACCTTCGCAAAAAACGGCCGCAGAGCGCCGATTTTGGCAGCATCGTGTTCGTCTCGCTCAGGCGCGTCGAATGATATACTTTTTGTCCGGGTCAGGTCAACTTGGGGTGTTGACCTCAGGTCAAGGTCAGGTCAGCACCCCCAGGTCACGAAGTTGGTTGAAAGAGGTCATGTCGCATATCATTCGATTCGGCAGGTCTTCCTGAGTCCATTGGTGGCTTTCCCGACTCGCTAGCTCAATTTGATCAAGAGTTATTGACGAAAAACTAATATGACCTTGATGACGTCATAAATGACGTCACGCAAGGTCAACATTGCAAAAGTGACGCATCTAACCTTGCAAGGAGTGCATAAAATCACGATTCTGTGTGCTTGAGATAGTTGGAGATCGTTCCCGGCGCCAGAATAGCAGTTTGAATTTTTCCCCATTGACTTATAATGGTGAGGTCACGAAAATGACCTGACCTCATATGACCTTTAGGAAAAATCCGAGATATACAAGTTGTGGGACTCATAATGGATACTAGATCCTGCAAGTTTCATTTCCCTGTGACATCTCCTCTGGCAGTGAGGGCGTTGCGAAGTTGCGACATCTGAAGACCGTGCAGAGGTTCACTTATGACGTCATAGGTCAGTGACCTGACCTGACCCAAAAATGCGGTTGGTGTCAAAAGATGCGGCTTGGATCAAAGGTCAGGTATGCCAAGTTTCAGCTCTCTATCGCCAGCGTGTTCGGAGCTATCGCGAAAAAACCCTATGGGGGGGGCGGCACCCGCCCCCCCCCCCCTCGGCCGGCGAGGGTTAACAAGGATCTTTCTATGATCGTGGGTCGACCGAGGCTATGCTAAGCAGCCCTGAATGGACTCATTGTTTTAGTGTGTTGTCCAAAGATCCGATGTACCCTAAACGCTCAGCCACCAATTCCTTACAGGGTAAAGAAACTGCTGTGTTTAGTGCATCGGTATTCTATGCCATATGTCTGTGAATGTAAAAATCTGCAGTTGCTGACCTGCTGGCCCGCATATCGCCTCTTTTACTGGCCAAAGAGTCGAATGAAAATCATTATCATCGTGATATTTCTCGTCACCTTAACCACCGTAGCCATATTGATAGTTCATGATGGTCTCCACTTGAGGCAGCGCATCTGAAACTCTGCCCGTGCCAGCTGCTGGCGCGCTGTATGAATGACTAGAAATTCAGCATTTAATAACAGCCGCAGCTACATCGGTTCATTGTGTAGTGAGAGTTGTCTGTGTGAATGATTTGCTGTCAGTTGGCTGCACTCGTGTATGAATGGTATGTTTTAATCCATAGTTGCATCATTGTTTGTCCCAGCACACCTTTTTTTGTGATGATTGATAAATATCGCCAGACCTGACGGAGTCAGTGATAAATATCGCCAGATTCGACAAAAGCTGTGGTAAATAATGTAAATATCTCCAGATCTGAGCTGTGAGCTCCGACTGTGTCTGTGGACCATGCCGATATCCACTGATTGTGACTAGAACTGATTACGCTCATTAATGTTGATTAACACCAGCTCACCGGGATACAAACTGTTCATGTTCAACTGACGAGCTTCAAACCAATGCGTGATTAAAACCCGTGTTCCACTGTGCATTAATTAGTGAAAGTGTTCTATTGAAGTGGCACTTGGTGTTCACACAGCCACGTGACATCACGTTTGTCCCCCTAACGCGCCCTCACGGGCTCCTTCTGTTCACCCAACCCATGTGGTCTGTTCTTGTTCTGCTGTTCAGGTGTTCTGGGGGCGGTCTGTGAGCTGCGTGGTCGGATCACGTGATCACCCCCCCCCCCCTCCTTCACCCCCCTCGTGTGGCTGTGACCGCATCGCGCGGCACCAAATACGGGTGCCAACACTAACTCTGACGTGCGATTGTTCGAGAATATACTCGGAGACATGCTTTGACATGGGTTTGTGACCATTGATGGGGCCGGTGTGGTAAAAGATGTGATCTGAATAGTCACGAAGTCGTGATAGTGGGACGATTCGTCGTGACTGCAACTCGACCGTGGGAATGTATTCAAACGGACGCCAAACGGCGGCTGTGGGTGTACTCACACACAGCCTAAGCAAGACCTTACGCGATACCGTCTTCGCCCCAGCACAGGCCCCCTTTCCCGACCTCCGACCACCCGACCCGAAACGACCCGGTTGACCTCCATCCTCTAGTTTGCTTGATGTAGGTCGCTTGTAAGCATAAAGATCTACGCGAACAGCCGAACAGCTACACTTGTATGCATGAATATAGTCTAGTTTATATGTTTATTATGCTTCGACTTAATCGGCAATACCTATTGCCTGCTGCGTTCTCTTCATCAATAAGTAAGAACCGTGCTCTATTCGCCTTTTGTCAGTAGCGGCGGAATACCTTCAATTAAGGGGGGGGGGCACTGCCGAATTTTGGTCCCATTCTTTCCATCCAACGCCCATAGGGCTAATGTTAAAATGCCAAAATTAAAGGGGGGCACGGTGCCCCGGTGCCCTCCCCGTTCCGCCGCCTATGCCTTTTGTGCCAGAAATCAGAGGTGCGATCGTGCTCAGTTCACATTCAAATTGAATCCAGTCCGGGTGCCGTTGGTAAGCGACCACCGCAAGAATGTCGGGCGGGTGCATCCCGTGACTCCTGGCACTTACATAATGATGTAATCTGGGTGCCTGCTCTTTATCCGGGCCATACCGGCCGACTCCCGGCTGAGACACGTGGCTAGTCCGTCTGCAGTAAGGTCGAACACCCCGGCCACAGGTGCGAGAAACTCGCCCTTGTTGGTGTGTCGGAATCCCAAGTCCCTGTGGTTGGTTTCGGTAAGCTCCTGAGACAGCTCTGCAGGCGCTCTGGGAGTCCGATTGAGTGGAGATACACAGGAAACAGGATTATGTCATTGAGAGTGCTTTGATATGACCGAAACGATATCTGCAAGGAACACAATGCACAAATAACCCTTACAAGTTACATACACAACGATTTGTACCTTGCCACTTTTGGATCCAAGTTCACCTTTCCACTACGAACATTTACACATTTTAGCTCAAATGAAACGTGTAAAAAGCAAACCTGACCTGGCTGTCGGTACAGTTCGTGATCGAGAACTTACCTCGGAATGTGGCCGTGTCACACGACACGACAAGCGATATCGGTCGGACGTCCCGGGTCTGCGACCGCGGGGCCCGGTGATCACGAAGGAATGAACCGGGTCGTCCTGGTCACCTTTATCGCTGCTCAAATCTCCGGATCGTCTGGTGTTTTCTAAAGGCGTCTTCGTGGCGCTCTGGAGATGCACCGTTACTCGGTGTCTGAGAGGCTTTATCGATGGCAGGATAGGCAGCGCTGGAGGCTGGAGAATGGAGATCTCTCGGTGGTCTGAAGTCTAAACTCGATGAAGTCTGGCCAGGGCGCTCGCTGGCGGAGCCAAAGTGTTACAGGCTCCGTATGAGCCTCGTACAGTGCCGGAGACTCGGCGAGACGCAGTGGTTGTATCGGTCAGAGTTACACCTGTGTCGTGGCTCATTCCGAATTTATGATGCTGCATTGTTGTCTGAGTTATGACACCTGGCGAAAGGGCTTGTGCTGCGAGGCACTTGAATGTATTTGCATTGTGTTCCAAGCTGCTGCCGCGCCTCAGTGGGTATACAAAGAGTCGAGTTTTACTACCCAACAGCGAGCTATCCATAAGGAGCGGCGCGCCGTGGATATCATTCATACCTGGTTCCCACTCAAATAGCCGCTGGCGCAGACGATACGTAGTCGTGCCAATCTCGCTTACATACATGGCCGCTGGCGTAGACACTGATTCGTAGTCTGGCCCACCTCACAATTGGACGAGAGTCCCACCGACCCTCTGGTATCACGGCAGGCGAGACCCTCGACCCGCTGTGGGGCGGCCGGTGACGGCGAGACGAATTCCTCCTAGTGTAGTCTGTCGGGGAGTTGGACTGGACGACTGGTTGTTTTGTAGAGCCGATAGCGACGATAGCGAGAAATCTGATGAAGATGGCGTGGCAACAATTGACGAATACACCGCATAACTAATGAGAACGAAACGTTCCATGAGCGCAACAAAATTCAACAACAAAAGGTCCTGGTTCTCCTCGGCCAGATTCTGGTTCTGCAGAGAAAGTTCAATATTTTATTGTCGCTGAGGACGGCTGCATCTGACGATCCTCAAGCTGGAACCGAGCTGGAGCGAACTGGCGGGCTCCTGGGCTCAAAATGAAGCAATTCAAGAATATCAGTACGCCGACTGAACCGGTTTATGTAGCTCCGAATTGTTGTGGACCGTTTTGGTGATGCTAACGTGTAAAAGGCGGTGCTGATGCCAGCTGTGATTGCAGACTATACGCCCGTGAGTCTGGATGCCTCGATCCTTTTCGGGCTTAGCGACTGTCTGCGCTGTGCTACAGCTCTCTCGACCTACGGTTTGAACGTCCTCGACCCCAGACCCTCTGCCTACCCCGCGGCCGTGTGATTTATGCTGTTCAATGTTCGGTGACATGCAGCGGTCCGATGCACCTTGTGGCAGGCAGGAGCTGCCGGTCAGTAGCTGTGTTTAGCATTGGTAATACCTCTGGTATTGACACGACCCGGCTGCCCAGGTGAGAGGTGATTTGTTGTCGTCCTCGACTGATGCCGCTATT